ATGAAACAGCTATCCAGTGCTCTTTGTTGGTTATCACGAACATTTCCAAACAGCATTTTCTTTCAATGTATGCCACTTGCATATTCTGGAAATTACATACAAACCTTAATTCGTGAGGCATCTGGGTTTGTATAATCGTCAAGGCACTTCAAGTTATAAGTGCGTCGAATCAATATGATAGCGCTTGACCGTGTCGAAATACACCTTCCAATCACGGTGCTCCAGGTAGGGGACAGCTCACCGCTGTACGTCCAGAAAAGAAACTAAGAGTCAAACGAGATGAGTCCAGTCAGGCAGTGTGATTTGAGGCTGCCGAGGGATGAACAAACCACGTGAGCGAGAGTTGGACGCACACAATTCAAACTCTCATCATAGGTGTGCGAGCATTCATGCGTGCATATGTGTGTGTGCGGTTAGATAACGGATTAACCATAGGACAGTATGCGCATGAAGGAACCAATAAAACGAGACGTTGGAGGTCACAAGTGGGTTCGTGCGACTGAAGTCATTCAAACTAAGTGAGCGGTGTGAGTGTGTGTGTCTGCTTGTCCATGTACTCAGCCCAGATTAGAAAAACTAATCATTCGCTTGGTTGTGCAGGGAATCGCGAATCAGAACGAAACGAATGTAGACGAGACAAAAACGGAGCTACAGAGTAGACAATGAAACGATGGAACAATAACCGACTCTGAGTAAAAGGATCTACAGCCAGAAATGCCAAGTTGATTCTTATGGAATTTCAGTGATTCTTAATCAGAGTGGCCCAGACGAGAACCTTCAAATCTGGTTTTCGAGGATCAGGCTATACCAAACGATTCCATTTACCCAAAATCACTTATTTCAATGCTTTCCTGACTTAACTGACATTGAATCGCTAGCTACCTATCAAACACATAACCTAATTATGTTTATCGGGCTTGAAGAACATCTGCCTCCTAAATAATGCTCCATCCCTACGTAGTGTAAGAATAGAAAAATGTGTCAATCCTAAAAGCTCACATGGTATCTTCCATTTCTAATGCGTTTAATTCGATTCAGATCACCTGAGCCTATTAGATTTTTCTTTTTTCTTACCTTTAAGTGAATCTTCTCCGGATGATCTGGGAACATGTGACGCAAAGCCAGGTACAACTCACGCATGATCTGAACCAAACATTCAGGTAACGCAGCCAGACCGGGTTGAACAAAAATTCCGTGGAAAAATTTCGCCGCTGCCTCAATCATATGTTGCAAGGCCGATTCCGATTTTCCAATCAGAGGTGTGGCCGTTTCCAAGATTGGTGCAGATTCTGTGCTCAGTAGGCCTGGCGATTGGGATTTACTTTTCCAGGTACTATCGGATGGGATGTGCACGGCAAGTGCGGATTTTGTTCGACTAAGCCAGGGACTCATAACACCCTTCGTCACACGTTTGATGCAAAAAGTAAATATTGTGATCCAGGGATTAAAAAAATAACAAGTGAAAATATCACAACTGTTTCCATGTCGATTATGGTTTCTTCTGTCAATTTAAATGATCAATTGACTGAATGATACAGTTTGTCGAGAAATTTAGTTCATTAAATAATGCTACTCACGAGTAGTGCAAGTATAAATTTGGCTAACTGTAATGGCGTTTGCCATCTTATCCCTCTTTACGCAATGCAGTCAACTTGTTCACTTAACAACAACACTTAACCACACGTTTAACCTATGCTGCTCTTTTGAAACTATATTTGTTTGTAACAGTAGAATAGCATCTCCACTGCTGAAATCATTCAGAAGACAGAAAGAACGATCGTACAAATCTAGAGACTTAGCGGCTACCAAGCTATACACCAGCTTCATCAAAGCTGAAGTGAAACGCCTCTGAGTCGTACGCCTCTCTGAGCCGTACGCCTCCCAGCTTCTGCAATGTAATAACAGTAAGCCAATTTGACAAGGTTTCAAATTGCTGTATGGGACCAAATCCAAAACGCCGGATTGTTCAACGGATTTGGACAGTGTTAATGCAGCATTTATCCACCGATCAAGCGATGTGATCACGCCATTTGTTCTGGACGACGCCGTTCAGGTAGAGACCGTCTCGAAAGAAGAAACTCTCGAGATTTTGCGTACCTTAAAAACCAAGTGCAGTGTTGGTCCCGATGGACTTTCACCTTCCCTTCTGAGATATGGGGCCTATTCTCTCAGTGAAATATTCACATCATTTTTGAACAATTCCTTAAAAACCTGCTCTATACCAA